CAATAGAGTAGAGATTTTGTTAATATTTGTATGAGTTAATAAACAATGTCTCTGAGGTTCTGGTATATAAATAGTTGTTAACCATATCTGTAGAGTGACAGCGAGATCCTCCTTGTGGCAGTGGCAAGTGGGTGGCAACTTTGTGACAGGCAGCGGCAATCGCCAGTAAATCAGTTGGCGTCACGACGGCACGCTGGGTGGGAGGAGCCAATTTTTCCCAGAAACAACTGTTATTTGTACGACAGGTCAGCTGCTGTAAATATTTAATTTTATTTAATTTTATTTAATTTTATTTGAGACACGTGAGCCCCCGTCTTCTTATTACAGAGGCTAATTTTAGGTTTGGACCGGCGGGTTCCGTGTAGGGGGTGGGGCTCTCAAGTTTGATGCCACCCACTTGCCACTGCCACAAGGAGGATCTCGGCCTTACTGTATCTGTAGCCCTTTTTCCATCCTTAAATCGCATTAAAAAAGCAGTTTGGAAATAGAAGAAATTCAAGAAAACCAATTGCTCCTAATAGTATTTTCATCCGCCTGAGCTGTTTTTTGCTTTTGTTGCAAAAGAATTGATGGCTTTGAAAAATACAAAGAATTGAAAAGTAAATTCTGACGTAGCGACGGCCGTCACATTTAACTTCTGCGGTCGGCAACTTTCTTTGCATATTCTTAAAACATGCGAACGCTTGTCTCAAAGAAATGTTCACATTGGCTTGACTATTCAATGGAAACATGACGTTTGGTGTATCTTAATAAAACAAAACATTTTAAACCTAAACTAGATTCTTGATGTGCATCACGTTGTTGAGCTGTACTGAACAAACCTCAAAATGTTTATGCCAACATCAGTTGAGTCACTAAGAATGAATAAAGAAAAATTTTAATTGGAAACTTGCAGCTCCATTAGACATTAGGAAAGATCAGATAAATAGTTTTTTGATTTGACACTGAAGGGAATTTGACATTTCACAGACATTGAGGGAGGAATTCATCCAACAACATTTTCAGTAAAAGAAAATGTGACCCTTCCACCCAAAGCGACTCAAACACAATTCGAAGAACTTGAGGCTGAGGCTGAACAGCTTTAGCGGTTTACCAGACCTGCTTCGAAACGTGTTAAAGCATAAAAGTCATCGTTTTGGATTAACCGTTCTCCACAGCAATTAGGTACCGGATAAAAACATGACATGATGTGTAACTAAGTCGCAACGCCGCTGTCACGTAGGGCCGGAAAAGCCGTGTGACTTTGACACCACGGTTTGCCCTGTGGTGCGATGTCGGATGTGTGCGTGGGCGTAAGCACACACAGCCAAAGACGGATGACAGACCGGGCATCAGTAGCATCAAACAGTATTAGTAACACCAGTGAGCCAGTTCCAGAGCGGTGATGCATGCTCCCACACACTGACATTATTAGGACACTTAATGGAATGGAGTCACCATTTATGTTGTGACTGTGTGTTACACTTGCTTCTGCAAATTGACCAGATGTCGACCAGAGACATAAATGTGGGAGTTGTACGTGTCCCCACATTAATATGTTGTTCTCCTGTTGTGCACAGATTATTCTTCTATGAATTACGTAATTTCCCCTTGTCTTTCATAAAAAATGCCATAAAAGGATGTATTAATAAGAATTTTCAAATTCTCAGTTACATTTTTTGCCACCATCAGGCCGGATTATGTTGTCCCCCCCCCAGTTCTGCTTATTTTATTGAGTAGCAACAACATGCATTTTGTGTTTAATAACTAAGCGGCAACGGCCCCACAGGAAACTAGATAAAACGCATGTAGATGCCCGATAGCAAAAAGTAAGAAGTACATTTTAAAGGGCTCCAATTTGAAAAATGTGACAGAATGTATAACATGCTGCACTTTCAATGAGCACACATTCTTCAATAGGTTTCAATGGGTACATTATTTTACTCCACAACGGTGGGAAATCATTGAACAGGACATTTATTAAATGCTCTTGCAAGCATGGAGCAGAGTTAAAACACATACAAGTCATGATTCAAGGCTACACAAAGGATTCTTCCTTTGGCTTTGATTTATGTAGTCTTAGTGCCCCTTCTTTACGGGGAGGGGTTGCTGAACCAGCTTCCAATCGTCACTTACACATCACAGACAGAGGGAGAGAATTGTTGTCCATGATTGAAGGAGATGGAAAAGAACGGCTAGTTGACTTGATCGGCTCTACATTGGTCACCAGGGGAAAGATTGCATTGTCATTCATGATGACAAGATGGGAGAGAATACTTTGTTAGAAATACGCTTTGTAAAATTACTCCCTGGGATCCTGTCCTGATCCTGAATTGATTTGAACAATGTCCCGATTGAAGAGGTCACAGACCTTCTGTCCACTCACTCTGAACCTTATTTGATTTTTTCCAACAGCTACAAAGTGTATTGCAGAGTTACCATAGGAGCTGATGATGAACTTTCAAAATAACAATAACAACTCACAACTTTGCAGAAAGTGAGAGACTAGAGAGGACTACAGCGGTAGCATCGACTCAACAGGACCATATAACAGGCTATAGGATATTAGAAATAAATTAACAACCCAGTTCATAAAATTAATAAAAATGCATATAATGTACACCAGAATACAGCCATGATTCTGAAACTGTGTAATCAATAAAGTAATGACAATATTGTAAAACCACTGTAATTTTGCAACTGTAATAGGATAATACCAATGCAGTTATGATTGTATTTGATGTAATGTAATCAACTGGAATGCATGCATGTAATACTTGAACAACAACTGATATTGACTGAGTTACATTGAACTCACCAGAAGACCACTCCCACAGGTGTGGACACTAACTTTCACACCTCTAAACATTGTTATAAATACCTGTAGGAACCATTGTTCTCGAGTTCGCTGGTGGAGACAGCAGACGGGCACTGGGGGGTCAAAAGGACTGACCTGGGACTTGTTGGTTGCTGAGACCAGCGGCTCCTCAGCTGAGATGTTCTTTTTACCACAACACCTCTTTTATTAAATACATCTGATTTTAACCTTTTGATCTGCGATGACCTCTGTCCGTCCGGCGTTTCTTCCTTTTTGAATACAACAAGGCCTACAGTGGTGTTCAGAGTGATAAGGCACATACTTCTGATTTAATATTGTATTGCTATTGCAAGATCCACCTTGAGTATGTAGCAATGGGCTCATAAAAACAGCAGCCAGGGCAAAGGACAGGACTAAAGAACTCCAGTTTGTATTCTTTATCAACCACCACTGCAGCAGGCATGTGACACAGGGAGTGTCAGGTAGCTGAAACGCCAACCACTTTCTGTCTGTTCGCCCGCTTCATGCCGATGGAATGATACGGTTGTTTTAATACACTTAAGATGAGGACCAACGGTCAACATGTCTGATTGCTGTTTGTTGTGTAATTGCAAGTAGAAATATGTAGCGTAGCATGAAGAAGAAGTCTTAATATCATACAGAAAACATTTATCCAATATGTGCATATCGAATAAGTCTAGATAATGAGTCATTTTCATTCTTTTTTTTCTTTCCACACTTCTATAAAATGCAAGAAAACTGGATTGAGTCGATTGGAGCTATGGCACATAACTGCACAAAGGGTATGTGGAGCAGGAAGACTTGAAGATATTTGTGTTATACAAAGTACCTCCTCAGGCTGAGTCAATAACGACTGAAGAATTTAGATCCAGTCTTGGTTTCACACAAGCGCTTCAGGTGTCTGTGACTCCTGAGGAATGATTTATTCTGCTGTGGTCGATCGGCTGGCTCTTTTTAGTCTTGTTCGGGCACCGCTCAGCTTTGGTTAAAGATGTGAGTGTGCTAGCAGCGGCTAACTTAGCCTTAGGCATCAACCTTTTTGCTAGTTGCACTTGCTTTAAAAGAAATCTACAATACATTTATCCTCCATTATTTCATCATTGGAACCGACTAACAGGAACCAACGTTAATATGTTGTCATGGAGTTTGGCCTGTTCCTGTTTTATTTTGTATTTCCCTTTTCTTTTGTGTCCCTGAGTCAGTCATTATGTACGTATTATGTTATGTAATTAGGCCCTACTTGTCCTTTGTCTCATTGTCGGTTTGTCTCTAATTTCGAAGTTTAACCTGTGACCTTGACAGGGTTTCTCTAGTGTATCTCCTGTCCTTACGCTAGCGACTCTCCTTGCATCCGTGACGAATGTTTAGACGGAGAGAGGACATTAACATATCAGCGAATGGATTACCTTGGTGCTCTGCATTGATCAAATTCGTCCTGTCATAAGTGTCCTCTTTGTCGGGCTCTGCACTGCTCCCTGCAGCTCCTCGTCTCCTAGTGCTTCATTATGTGAGTTACTTTGTGTCTGTCACACACCGGACAAGCAGCTCTCTAATTATCCCTCACACTGCAAGTGCCTTTGCAAATCGATGTGTAACATGGCTTTGTTTTTTAGCCATGGTACCATGTTCAGATAAAAAATATTCCTTTGATAAACACTATGAGTATATAATAGGATATTTGTGTTTGGACGTGAAAGCTGCATAAAGGCCACAAGTATAAGTCATTGTAATTCAGCTTTTTGGTCACTTACCTGTCCTTCTTTGTGTCTCGTGAAACAAATTTGACCATTGTTTATATGTGTCTGTCTGTATGTGTGTGGCTGACACATATTTTCCTCTCTACTTGCGATAAAATGATGAATCAATTTGAAAAAAGTCACAACAATTCAAGTCCAGTCTTCAACTGCGTGAGAATCATAGATTAAAGACTTTTCCCAGTTGCTGCTGCCAGGGAGTTTCCCGATAGTCATAATGACCTCATGGGTCATCTATATGGACAACAAATTAAACAGAAGAGTGGCTGCAACACATCAAAGGCACTTCATAAAAGTGTCAACTTGTTACAGTCTTCAGTTCTTTATGAATAGGCTTTCACTTTGCTCGCACGCGCGCACACACACACACACACACACACACACACACCCACACTTCTTATTCATCATCTTATTTTTCTTTTTTTCTAACCCTAACCCTCATGCACACACCCCCAACAGTGAAAACCCTTCCTGATATTGTAATGATTAACGTACTGAAGGGGGGTTTTCACGCAGAGAAGCGATTCACGGAGTCAGAGACTAGTTGCGGGCAGCTGAGGAGAAGCACTAACCTGCTGATGTGAGTTCTATTGAAAAGCAGGACACGACAATCATGCTGCCTTTACAAAAAGTCATGGCAGGGAATCCGGGATTCGACCCGCCTGCAGATAGACTTCTGTTTTAATTTGTGTGTTCTTTACGTTGCAGTGAAATGCAAAAAGAGGTGACGATGCAGTACACATTGTTGCACACGCTTGTCTGGCTGCTACCAGCGTTCTCAACACAAGGTAAGCCTGAAACCATCATACACACACCTTTGCTCTACATGACCAGGGCGGTAACCCTTTATCCTTTTATCCACTGGGCTGTACTATGTCTACATAAGCATATATGTATTTAGGTCCTAGTATATTCAGTTACTGTGATCTTTGCACTGCTTCTACTTTTATTGTTGTCTATCATTATAAATTTCTTTACCTACTTACTTATTACTGCTGCTCTTGTTCTTTTTACCATGTGTCTTGTGTGCATTGTCCACTTTGCTGCCGCAATCCTGGGAATTTCCCCATTGTGGGACTAATATAGGAAAATCTTATCTTAAAATCTGCACTAATGTGATTGTGCCGTTTGCATTGCTGAAACGGCGAGAAGCGTCTGTTTCCCTCACGCCTCACCACGGTGTCTGAATACTTTTCAACAGAGTTGGTGAGCCTAAGCGTTAGTCCTGACATCACCGCAGAATGTGGCAAACCGGTGACCCTGATCTGCAACGCGTCATCCTCACAAAGGGAGCTGTCAATCAAGCGCATGGAGTGGTTCCAGAACCGCACATCTGTCTGCTCCGTGAACGAGGAGGGGGACATCAGGAACCACGCACCCTCTACCAGGGATTCATACTGCGAGTATAAACACGGACAATTTTCCCTCACCTTTAAAAGCGCAAAGCCGCTGGACAGAGGAAGCTACGCGTGCAAACTGCAATCCAGCCGAGGAGCTCGACACAAAGTCACCAAGGTGGAGCTGCAAGGTCAGCGTCCGTCAAACTGTTATTTGTATGAAACTGAAACAAGAAGAATGGTTACTCTTTAGCTACTTCCTCAATTGCAGCGGTCACATTAGTATTCACATTCCCTAAATATGGGGGGAAAGTATTTACATTAAGTGTTACTTTAAGTTTACGTTGATTTATTTACTTAAACAAAGACCACTAACAACTTTTAGTGCATCATAAAAAGAGTGAAATGTGTTCCAGCTGCAGCAGTTGCGGTGTCATTGATTAACAGGTAACTTTACTATTTTATAGGCCATTATAATGCGGGTAGATGAAAGCGTTCTGATTGGTTGATAGTGAGTCACGTTATAGAGTTCACATTGACCCGAGCGTTCCGTATCACTGCGCACTCAAAGTAACAGGTCACATTTAGTTGACATTTAGCTAAAGGCAATCAGGCAATGTGAGCTTTTTGCAACCGGACGAGTAAGGTGGACGTCATGAGCAATGTGAATGAAGGGAACCCGATGCTGTTTACCTGCACGTACGGGGACTATTTTTTTCTCTAGACTACTGAAATGCGATACACAACGTTTGATGGCTACAACTATTTTGTGCTTGAAAGGCAGCTATTTATTTACTATTTATATTTTCGCTGGTAACCGTATTATAAAAGCAATAAGGTCCTTGAGGCAGTACTTTATCTATGTGACAGTTCGGGGTGTTGTTAGGCGCCGCGTCAGGCCTAACAACACCCCGAACTGTTACATTATTGGACGATAAAGTACAGCCTCTCGTACCTTATTGCTTTAATATCAACCAGCTGATGAGCTGTCAGGTTGTAAAACAGTGGATTAGTGGATTGTTGCGAAAGAGTCCTAAATTAATTACTTTAGAGGATGTTTCCAGATTCATTAATTATCTCAATACCTATAAAAACAAAGCCAGTTATAAAATAGATTTTTCAATCCAGCGTTTTTGTAAAATGTCTAAATGTAGCTTGTGTTCTACACATGTAGAACTGCAATTGCACTACAATCGAGTGAACGTGCTCCCCACCTCTGCTCCGCTGTGATCGGTATTGATCTCACCCTGATAATCGGTGCGGTGTTGAGCGTCTCAGATGGATTCACATCCCAAATGAAAACATTTATAGTTAAAAGTGCACCATTCAGGGTAATTTTATGGTCTTCCCCTCAGAGTGTTGCGGGAAGGCAGAAGGTGTTTGGACGAAGGACCGACTCACCTGCATCTTCAGAAACGTCTACCCGGACGGAGATGTCCACTGGTTCAACCCCTCTCGCAACCTCTCATACGGGTCTGTGAGGCGCTACACCTCCAAACAAGTGGATGAAGGGGGTTGGCTGACTATTCAAAGTGACCTAGACTTGGAAAATTTACCTGGGCCCAACAGCTGTTCCTTGATGAGCCCCACATCTGGTCGATACATTGCAAGCACTTTAGTTCTGAAGCCGCAGTCCCGGTCCTTGGATGCAACACAGAAACAGACAGACCAGAGCGGGAGTGGAGTAGGATCGCATAGACCCATGTGGACTTTTTTGTTTTCTGCAGTCTTACTTGGTGCCACACTAAATTAATGGATTTGCTAGAGTACGTCCACGTAATGGAGTGTGTTTGGACATCGGGGGAAGCGATGGTTAACATCGATTTGTAGCAATGAGGTACTGAGATTTCTTTTTTCATTAAGTCAACCTGCATTGTCCAACGGCTTACTCTTCTTCCTTTTACCTCTTGATTGAAGTGAACCGGTATAGTTATTTCGAGGCATTGAAATTTCTTTTGTCTTATCAGAGAATCACGATTGATATCAAACACACATTAATAACTGCAATGACTAATAATGACCGAGGAGTTCTGGCTACTTGTTCAATTTTTGCCTATAGATTTATTTCTGAGGGAGGACGATGAGAATGTCTGCTCACAGGTGCGTCCGCTGCGTGTCCTCGGGATGGTTATCTACGACTACCCTGGGGACGCCAGCTCTCTGCACCAACACATCGAAAGAAAGAGCTTTCCGTCTCCAACAGAATGGAGACATCAAAAGATGGGCTCCTCCCAGGAATTCCCCGCAAACACAGCGTGTGCCTTTGTGTGCAAAAGAATTGGACGCCTGGGCTCTCAGTGGAGCCATCGTGGATGGATGCTGCCCTCTGGTGAGCGAGCCGTTGTGAGAGTCGGATGTGACGGCGGCTGCAGAAACAACTATCTGTCAATAGGAGGCTTAAGCGGTCAGTGTCCCGGCGGCAGCAGGAACCTCGTTCCCGTCCGCCACCAGCTCTCTGTGCTGCCCGGCACCCTCTGCAAAGGACACATTTGAGAGCCTTTTCTACACCGAAGGACTCTTTGCTAATGTTGCCCCACAAGTGCATGTTCAACTTTTAGCTTTTGAATGACTTTGAGATCATCTCGACTATTGTAGTGCACCTGGGTTCCCAATAATGTCCACAAACACACATACATCTACACACCAGTGGGTGTTTGTGGAATAAATATCTTTCAGTTGCATAATCTTGAGGAATAATTGGTTTTGTAAGATGTTTTCTTTGACTGGTTACAGAATGAGGTATACTGTACAAGCATGTACAAATAAGCATGACAAAGTTAAAGCTATTTGCATTTCTTATCACAAGACTAAATGAGAATTTCACAAACTTGTCAAAGCGAGTGACGGTGACTGGGTTAGCCTTACAGGGAGCGGTCTGATTATCCATAAATACAGCACTTATTTGTTTTTCCATTTTGTGATTCTCAAAGTGATTATACTAACTTAAAAGGTTTGGAGAAAGAAATGTACGTCATAACTGCTGTATTCTTTCACAATTGAGCATTTGATTAAAAATCAATAAAGCACATTTCCGAATGAAATTTGTAGAAGATCACTTGGTTTACAGTGCCCTTGTTTCTACATCACTTCGAACAAAAGGCTTCTGAAAAACGTATAAATGTAAATGACTGCCGTCGAAAGAGTGAAGCCTTCTAAAACATCAGTCCTTACAAGTAAAAGACAGCTGCAAGACATGGACATGCAGCTTCATCAGCATTCTTTAATGTCATACAACAGCTCTCTAGCATGACCTTCAGAGGGAAAAGTGCCCGTGTTTATATTTGTATTTTTCTTTTTAAACTTTATTTATTAACTTTATTTAACTTTATGAAACTGAATGGGATTTAGGTAAAGTAACCACCTCCGGCCGCGTGCCATGTTGAATGAAATAATACGTGCGCGGTTTTAGAAAGAAGAAGAAAACTGTTATATTCCAGTGAAACCGTAAAACAACAAACAGCATCACTGTCTCCCTCTGTACTTGTATGATGCACTTATTGCCACAAGAGGGAACAAGTTACACACTCTCTGTCCTCCTCTGGACAAACAATGACTGCACGCTGCTTCCTGTGTTGACGCTGGCCAGCAGGGTCCAAAGGGGCCAAGTCACTGACGAGTGCACTCACAGATCCTTTTCACTGCGCAGGAAATACCTCTTAGCTTTAATGATGAGGGTTTGGCAGAGGAAACATTTTGCAGTAAAGCACACTGCCGGAATAACGCCTTTGCCAAAACGTTTGATGTTTGCATTTCTTGCCCCCTGCTTCACACATTCACGTTGGTGTCGTGGCAGAGCGACGGGCTTCTCTGTGACTTCAGGAAAACACGGGTGTCGTTTCCGCCGGTGGCCCTGCAGCCTTGTTACACCATCGCTCGTGTTTGAAGTTTACTTCTCGTGTGAGCACCTCATCTGGGCAAAGTACACAGTGGGGGTGTTGTGTCTATTCACTGAGATGCATGTGAGAAAGAGTGTATACGGAGGCTTCAGGTCAAGTTCCCATGGTAACTGAGAGGCGTTTCACTGTGTGCCCATGGCTTCACATGTGTGTCTGTGTGTGTGCGCGCGTGTGTGTTTGTGTGTGTGTGCGTCTGGCCAATTATCCGAGTGGGCTGCTATGTCCTCTCAGAGAGGTTCACAGTATCACTGTGACGGCCTGGTGGTCGTTGTCAGGTGAGCAACCGCAGATGGTTATATCATTCACAAAAGCAGAAGGGGAGGGGGGGAGAAAGAAAAAAAAAGAAACAAGATAAGAAAGTAACTGACCGACAAACAGCTTGAAAGGATGAATAAATGGGTCCGGAGGGGAGAGACAGTGGAATAGAGGAATGGAAAGAAGAGATAAAAGCCAGATTCTGTCAACAAACAGGGGATTTTTATGTGAAGCACTGATGCGGCTGTTACCCAACGTTACGGTAACAGGGAGTCGGCTTGGGATTAATTGCCCCGAGATCGGATTTGCACAAGGATCAGTGCCATCTGTGGGTTTCTGTCTCCAAGCGCAGGTACATCTACTGTACAACACTACTTTTTGCTCATGCACATTTTCTCATGTTATGAGATGCCCCCAGTTAGTTTCATCATTCACTGAATTCATTCATTGAATCATAGATATTCTTCACAGCCTGCAACACTGTATATATTCTTTTCAGTTCAGCATAAACAAAATTTCAGGTTCACTAGTAAAAAGCAGTTATACCAGAATATTAAAATCCATTACAAGTAAATGTCATGAATTTCGATCTGTGTTTAATAAAATGTTGAATTGGCATTACTGGCAGACGTAATCAAAAAATTTGAAGCGAAATGACTAGATTGCAGAATGACCCTTGTCTGTATTTCATGCTTATAATAATGGCTCATGATGCATGCAAGCAGTACATCAGAGGAAACATTCCGGTTAGACACTGGCTGTTTAACATGGTAAAGAATTTGGGTGCTAAAAAAAACAAGTAAGATGCTTCAGACCAAAAACAGATCAAACAGAAAGTCAAAACATTGCAGGTTTAAGAAGGAGAAACAGTAACACACTTATCATTCTCATTTAAGATTACATTATACAGTGTTACAAGGTTTAATCAAGCAATGTGTTGGATAAGTCATGTTAAAAATTCAAAATCAGAAGTGCTTAAATTACAGTTAGTACATAAAAGGTGGTAAAAAGAATGTTTACCTCTGAATTTAAGGGGAGAATAATGTAGTAAAGTGCCTAATAATTTGTTACCTAATTGGAGTACAAGAGTACATATTACTCGTACTGTGTACACAGTACTAGTTTGTAGGTCACAGCTACAGAAGAAGCCTCGGTGACTCAAGCACGTTATATATCTTCTGTGAGCATTCTGTAAATATCTCAGACTGCGGCCGGCATTGGATGTTTAATGTAACACTTCGTCCCTCCTCCGCACCGCCAACACCAGATAGGAGAGCATTGGTGACTCAAACATTTCCAAATGTCATTCTCCTCCAAAGTTTTCAGAGTACAAACTCATCAATCCTTCAGCGTTAACCCAGACTCACGGAAGGCTGCTTTATATAACTGCTGTTGCTTCATTGGAGATCAATAGAGGAAGAGCCCAGCGGGAAGACTGAGCTGAGAGGAGGCGTCGAAGTGTTCACGTTTTAGCAGGAGATGCAGAAGAGGCATAAACGAGAATAAAGATGAATAAACGCTCCTCCGCTGTGTTGATGCCCGAGTCGAAGCAGACGGTGGGATGTGACTTTGAGGGAGAGATGAACCCGGTTCCGTGTGAGGACGCCGCCTGCAGGAAGCCTCACAACAAACGCTGTGTGAAGACTGTCAAAACAAGGCACTCAAGTGTGAAAGATGCGGAGGGCTTTGAAACACGCTGTTTATTACTGTCAGGTGGGACAGCTCAGAAAACATGGCTCCTTCCACACTTATGTGACAGAGTTAGCCTGAAAGTTGTGTGCATGTGAGATTCTCTCCCTCTGTATATTTTCTGATTCGAGACAAATATCTATGAGCTATAATACCGTGAGTCCTTGAGCCCATATGCCACAGTACATGTTCCTATCCGTGTTCCTTCCAGTAAGCGGTGTTGAAATGAACATGGTCAAAGAGAAACAATGACTTGAAGCTGGAGGATGTGAGTTCTGAGACCAGACGGCAAGAGAGTTTCCTCACGTTGCACACTTAACCTTTCAGGCTTTTGCTCTTTCAAGGATATTTCCCTCGCTGGTGGATTAATGCAGCACACAGAGAGCAGCCAGGCACCAGTTGGTTGATATGTGCATCTTTGCGTGACTGCATGCGATCCCAGAGTCTGTTGCCTCGGGAGACGACGGGCACTGTGATCCATGCCTCTTAAATAAAGCTCTCATTAACATAACGTTAACTTTCACACATTTGCAAATACACAGATCTCATATGTTGCAATGTTAGAGTAAAACAACAATAATACAATTTTGCACATTTGTATACTCATATTTTAATGATTTCATAAGTTTGAATGACCCACTACAGAACCGGAGGGGCAGAAATGATCTGTGCGTCTCCGTTGACTCTGAGAGGAAAGAAGGACATTTATGAAAAGCAGGTGTCTTTGTAAAGGAAGTTGGGACAGAGGTCATTGTCTAGATCATGCAGATCACGTTCTAATCAGGACAGTTCCATCCGGCTCACACTGCACGTGTAAATGTCCTGGGAGTTTAATCCGCCACAAATAATTCAACACGCCAGTGAAAGTGTACCATAACAACGTAACGTACACGAATACCTGCATTGGTTTTAGCACAAAAGTGTCTCGATCAGTTGTATGTTTGACTTTTGACTGGGCATAATGACAAGAATAAGAGTTGTACGACGCAGACACTGTTAACAGTAAGTACATTAGTGACATTTTTAAACCGCCACCCTCCTAATTAACAATGTTTGAAATCCTTGTGGAGAGTGATGCGGGCACTGAGGGCCCTTTTCAAACAAGCCTCATTGTGAGGAAGTCTATCCGCTGATCAGTCAATCCTCGTCGGAGGGCAGAACTGCTCTCCTGTTCGGCATGTATTGGTTGTTGCTGAAACCTTGATTTATATAACGGCATCGAGAAAGAAAACAAGCAAACGTATGCAAGAGCACGGATGGAAGAAGGGGAGAAAGGACATGGGTTCAATGACTCCCTGTTCCACTGGGGCTCTTACGCGCATCATCAAAGGAAAACGGTTCCACTTTTTGATCAAAGTCCAAATTAAGTGACTACATTGAGAGACCGTCTCGATCTACTTGCAGCAGCCAAGTTTGCTGAGTGTTTGCAAAGCAATTGTTGGACCCCAAATTGAGTGTGTCCTCTACTTTACCCTCAGACAGAGCGGGTCTTTGAAATGTGCATTTGCTGCTGAGTAATATAGAATCAATATCAATCCTCTCCAAGCTAACAAATTGTGCCTCTCCTACCAACAACAGCAGCAAGTTCAAAGTCTGCCATCAAAGGGCTGCTGATGAGCTCTTATCAGAAGGTCTTCCCCGTCTGCTCCCCGTGCATCGTACCTCATTCGCCCTGCAATTCAGCTCAGAGAAGAAAGGGAAGAATGTGTGCTCATTGTTGGCGTTTCCCCTCCGCCCACCTCCCATAGTCTGTACCAACAGAGGGGTCCAAGGACCAGAGGCAAAGCGCCTGTCGGACTGTCGTGGTTTTGTCCTCATTACTCGGAGGCCACAGCAGATTCACAGTGCGTTTCACTGCTCGATTCCCCGCCACTGTGTGCGTGCGGGAAATCACGTGACCCGGCGATTTATATGACGCCTTTGACCCGACCAGCAAACCGGCTGCCACCGCCGGCTACACCTGTTTTAGTTATTTGCTTGAAAGCCGCGGGAGCATGCTGGGTTGTTTTGCATTTCTAAAGTGATTGCCGTATAATCAGATCTAAGTGCTTAGATCTGCGTACAAAAAAGGAGAGGAGGAGCTATATATATAATTTCACTTTCTGTGATTGCCCCACCAGATTCACTCTCCATCTGGTGGGTGACTCACTGTTAGTGTACAAGTTGAAAAGCCAGTATGGGAAAAGCAATTATAGAAGTCATGAGCAGGCAATGTAACTTTCTCCATTTCATCTCAGTTTTCATTTCCCTCATAATCAGCTCCTGTTTTGACAGATATTGTGCACAATGAAGCGTAACTGTATGCAGTAATTAGTTCACCTTATATGTTCCGATCAGATCATTTCATTTTGGCAAATTAAAAGCACCTAATTAGTGAAAGTGGGAGGTTAGGAAACAACAGAAATCAAACGCTATCTGGGTGTCTTTCACAAGTGATTGATTTCAGTCGTAATGGCTGTAATGAATTGACTCTCATTTACATGTTGAATCGTCTAAACTGGATGTTCTCTCACAGAACGCGCACATCAGTTAAGTCATTTTTTGGAGAAAAGGAGCAGGAGGCTGCTACTCTGGCATCGTCCTACTTTTAGTCATCAGAAGGGCGAGAGACATTAGAGTCGATCTATGGATTTGCATAATTTCTACACGTACACTTAATGGAAGCTGATTTCAGGGCAGATTTTTTACCCTTATTGTGACCTTTTCTCTAAGCGATCAACTTGTAAAGATATTTGATTTGGATCAGCTGAAACACCAATAGGAACATGTTAGTTACAAGGATGTGATTTCGTTTTTGAACCTTCCACTAGATCTCTTACTCATCTCTACAATTCTCACTGGGGACTTCACGACAGAAACCCAGCAGATGTTATATAACATGTTTATTGTAAACAGTGGTAGTGTAGTGTGATAATAAACATCAAACACTTCAATCCCTGTGAGATGAATAACTCATTTGCTTTTTGCACATATTTCACAATCAGAAAAAAGTTAAACAATAAAACGATTTAATGAAAAAGATACGGAGTGGGGGGGGGGGGGGGGGGACACACGCAAAGACAGCACGACGGACAAAAATCCTATTGGCAAACACATCCGCGAGCACACGCACTACATGCATATCTGTACTTGTTCACGCCACTTGCAGGTGTACAAGCACAGAGATTCACATTCAAGTGCACACGCGCACAGAATAAAACACAAAAGGTATCTCACTCCTTCATCAGACACCATGTTTCTGTGGACATTGCCGCACACAAATGCACAAATGCACAAATCCACAAATGCACACATGCACACGCGGGTCGGTTTAGTAGACCTATTGCTTTGGAGCAGTGTGCTATTTCATCCCCCCAACTCTTTCACAGCACGTGCATAACACCATCTCACCCCATTTGTTGAGATAAATCTCATCACATGTGACTGAAGAGGTCAAAGGGCAGAGTGATGCAGTTGGATCGCATTCACATCCTGTGACATTGAGTCACCCAGACACGGCTTCTCATGTGACGCCCATACAGCGGAGAAGGGGGTGGGGGAGGCAGCGAATCAGCCGTGAACTTGAACTCTGGGTCAAACTGTCACTGTCTAACTACTAAAACATACTAAACAGATTCTTCTCGCAATAAAAAATGGAAAATTATATGAAAAAAGGAAAATAAA